ACCCGGGCCGCCGCGGTGGGAAGCAAGCGACTAACCGCTTGAGCTATGTCGTGGCCTAGATAATACGGAAAGGTCTGTTTGAAAATTCTCATCAAAATATAAGAGTAAATAATAAACCGAATATAAAAATTGAGAAGTAACTGTCAATTGTTTCATTTACATTTCGGAAAGGAGTGTAGCCTTTTCTTTTTTTTCTTTTTTTTTTTTGCAGGCTGAAGAGACAGCACACTTAACCCAGAGCTATATTTAGCCTACTTTCCATATTTTGAAAAATAAAAGCAGACTTATGAAATCACCTTGCTCTCTGTCCGTATTTCATGGACAAATTCATGGTACCATTTTTACATGCTTTTCATTCAGTGTAATATACGATGTGACGAACTACCATAAGATCACGTGTAAATTTAATGATAATTACAAATATAAGAACTTTTGAACGAGTTAGTGTATTGAGTCCAAACTTTTTTAAGGATTTTAGAATAAGACAACAAACGCTCTGTACAATTTTATCAATTATGTACCATTTTAAGTACCTCGTACGCAACCTTAATTAATTAAACACTTTTCGAAACATACATACAGATATACCGGCAAGCGATTTAAATCGTTAAAGTTGTTAAATTTTAAGAAAATTAAGGTGATAGAAATTACCATGTTTCGTAAAACAGAGTATCTTTGCCCAAACGGGGGGCTCTGCATGCGCAAACAACCGAACGCTGCAAATCCAGCTTCATTTGAAGAGCTAGAGCGAAACGAGCCCAAAATGTGAACATGAACTCTTGACATGGAGAGGATAAATAAGCTTCCTACAGACCTGTGTACGTCTCAGTGCGCCAGCTGCAACCTCTCACACGCTCAGCAAGTCTTATGTAGGGACCCACACACACAGACTACAAGTTTAAAATTTCACTGTTCCCTGAAGAGACAGTTAACACATTTAAAGAGCAAAACTGCTTGTATACGAGTACACGGTTTTCCCCAGGGCGTCAGAAACTGTTGGGAGCTAACCGGTAAGTAATGGTGACAATGCAGGTGTATGCTTTCGTGTGTTATCTACAGCAGCTGATAAGTAGCAGTCACACGACAACACACGCACACCACAAAATTCCGTCCTTTTATTGTAGCTGGGTTTCTGTGGTGTCGCGTCATGAATGTTTAAGTTTTGTTTCCTGTGGGGTGCTCTGCAGCAAAACTGTATATAATATATAAAAAAAGAAGGCATCACTTTAACAGGCTGTGGAAGCCCATAGGGTTGTGAGATGTTGAGGTTCCCACATTTTCTAGACAGTCGGCTCACAAATGGCGGCAAGGTTGTCAGCCTTACGCGCCGGCCGCCTTTTACCCCCAAGAATGTTCCTGGTACTCATTTCTGTTAGAGGTTGAGTCGACCCCAGGGCCATAGTGCGGCTGGAAGGATTAGGTCAATTGAAAAAATCCAATGACCTCATCGGGATATGAACCCGCGACCTTCCGGCTTGTAACATAGTGCCTCAACCAACTATGCTACCGCGTGCCCCCTCTGCAGCACAACTGTAAGATGCGAAAAAAATGCAGTGCTTGAGAAACAATTTATTTGTGAAGACGGCATTCTACTTTAAGGTAAATCTGTTCCTGTGTTTAATTAATTAAGCATCGCTCAATGAAAACGAATGGGGAGTGAACGTATAGATTCTTGACGTGGGCACTAGATGGAGGTGAGTGGTCAGCTTCGCGCACCTGTCGCCTTACCTCCATGAAATGAACCCACGGCACCCGTTGGATAGAAGGCTGTGGAGTAGAGAAAAATCTTACCCTTGCCGCGAATCGAACCGCGACTGTCGAGCCCGTAGCCCGTCGCTGTACTGACTGAGGTATCCAGGCTGTGTGTTACGCCAGTCATATAAAATTGATACAGGCCCTAGGGACACTGGCTACATCGACAGTAATGAGTAATAGTGACATCTCTGAAGTTAAAGTTATTTGATAAAACTGTACAGACTTCATCACCCGCGATGACAATAAACTGTGATATGTAGCTCTGAAAATTCTTATTGAAGCTGAGTACGTTGTAATTATAACGGATATTTTGTTTTAGTGTTGAACATTATTTTGATAAAATAACAGTACTGTAGTGGTAACGCTGTAGGCTTTTGCATTCGAGAGATGATTACAACGCTCGCAGCCAAAAAGGAAGGGCACATCACAGACACAGTACACACAGAAACGACTCCCATAGTGGACGAACCATACTATACTCGAGTTTGAATTAAGACATATAGAAGAATAATCTTAACAAGTTTTAGTATATTCAAATTTTATTAAAGTTGACGAGTAATGTACTTTCTAAATAATTTTATGAAAGACACAAGATGGCAAACAGTGTAATAGCTTAGCGTAAATAACGAACCTGATGATGGCACTATGTAGCCGAAACATGTAGTAAGAAGCGACATATGAAACTGAGTGCACTGCCAGACTGCCATTACATAGTATCATGGAGAGATGGTAGGTTCGAATCTTGGTCGAGACACCGGCTGTCATGAGGTTCTTCGTAGATTTCTTCAGTCCCTCGTGCAAAATGACGGGATCATGTCAGTAAGAGTCAAGACCGTTCCTTTCAAGTTTTTTTTTTTTCACAAATCATCAGTTATCCTATCATTCTACGCTCTACGAGTACTGCCTGAGACACTGGCAGCGTCCCAGAATAGACCACAAAATACGAGTATTCATTCATTCGTGACTCTACGGCCCAACACTTTCGTAATCCTATATGGAGTCGGTAGGACTCCATGGGCGGGGGATCAGCCTGACGGAAGGTCGCTACCTATACAGGACAACACAAACACAGCCTTGAGTGGGATTCGAACCCATGAAGCCAGTGTTCGGGCCGGCGAAGACAGCTCATGCCTTAGTCCGTACGGCCACTGTGATCGGCAGACCACAAAATATACTGTACAATACTCGTAGGTGCAGGAGTGGAGCTGGATTTATTACTGTGGTCTCAAATGAACCTGCTGCACCAGCCCCGGGTGGTACATAAGTGCGAAGTACTGGTGGAACACTTGGCAGTGGAGACCGGAAGTGCTCTAAGCAAACGGCTATATAGTCCTGTACTGGGATTCAACACGGGCTTCCGAGGCCGACGAGTAACTGGATGAACTGTAGCACAGCTGATTCTATCAGGTTCAAGTATAAGGGATAAGTGTAGGTCATTTCGATGTTAAAGAGTGATTCTGGAGCAGTTCAAAAGGAATCTAATTTATACCCCTTCTATTAAAATTCACAGCTAAGAGTCGAAAAAAGCATTTCGTGTAATTGGAAAGAAAGTTACGGTGATATACACATTCCAGTATTCTAGAAGTAAGACTTCACAGAATTATTGTGTACGAAAATCACAGAGAAAAGAGAAGCTGAAAGAAAAATGTAAATAATTCTGATCACAATGACCGTGAGGCCTGAGGAATGAAATGGCTTCGCCCCCTCGAATACCGAGATCGTGAGTTCGAATCTCACTCGAGGCATCGATGAATATCTGTGTTTGTGTTGTCCTAGCGGCCTTGCGACGGGCTGATCACCCGTCCAAGAAAACCCGCCGTCTGTCTATAAGATTCACAGTTTTCATATTGATCCAAAAATAGCAGTTTTTCAGAGGAGGAAGAAGAAGAAAAATCATTCATGGACTTGCATAATGCGCACTGATTTTCCTATGAATGTCAAGTCGAGATTATTCTCTCAACTTTTTATTCGGCCAGTTTATTTTTTCAAGTTGAAATATTTGGAAACGGAATTTTGGCATTATTATTAACACCGTCAACTACAGATCAAGCAACTTGATCCAAGTTGGTAACACTTCTGATTTTTGTTCAGATGTGCCCCTTTCGAAACTCATCCAGAACACCAGCTATATTGACATGTTTTTCCTCGTTTTCTTCAGTCTCGAGACAAATTCATGCATAATATCTCTAATTAGGTCACATTCCTTCCTTCCATAGACCTACTGTTTAACCATAAGGCTATATATTTTGGAAGCCGATCACAGTGGCCCCGCGGTCTAAGACATGAACTGCCTTCATTAGCTCGAAAGCTGGTATCGTGGGTTCGAATCCCACTTGAGGAATGGTTGTCTGTGAGCCTGCATTCTGTTTGTGTCGTTCTGTGTGTAGGTAGCGGCCTTGCGATTGATTGATCCCCTGTCAAAGGATCACTACTGACTATGTATAGGATTAAGAAACTGAAAACACGGCCAAGGTCTAACAAAATACCGTAGAGCCCTAGATAGATATATTTTAAGATACTAATAGGACCGTTAACAGTTTGGAGGCTAGTACGCAGTACGGGTTATGAGAAACTGACTGTGAGTATGTGAACCTGAAGCCGGTCACGGTAGCCCAACAGTCTAAGGCATGTACTGTCTTCGCTCGCTTGGAAACCGGGATCGTGGGTTCGAATCCCACTCAGGGCATGGATGTTTAGTTTGTGTGTGTGCGTTTTTCTGTGTAGAGGCCTTACGACGAGCTGATCACCCGCCCAAGGAGTCCTACCGTATGTGTAAGATCTAGAAAAACCGAAGTGAACGGAGAAGTTCATGGAGGTAGGCCTAGGCCCACTGGGGCTGTAGTGCCAAGGAGAAATGTGAACCTGATCTCGGTCTAATGTCCACTCGGCTGCCTTAGAGTTTCATTAACCAGCTGGGCTTTTCTAAAAAAAGTGTTTACGTATTCCGTTGAGGGCCTGAACCAGTGATTTCCAGTTATTACAGATTTACTGTATTAGAACAAAGCATCAGGTCTATAATATTTGCATCACGTGGTCCTAAAACATAATATTACAAGAGGCCTAATTCCTTTCGTTGCCCGTCCGGTGGTCGGTGTGTGAGTGTGTCGGTTAAATAGGTCTATTTAGTTAGCCAATATTTCGCTGTACAAGCGTAAAACCTTTACACGGTCACTGTTTTGTCACATATTTGCACCATCGTTATTAGTGTGTTTTGATTTTGGGTGAGCACATTTTCCTGCAGAAACTAAACACGGACCTAGATATCTCTTTAACACACAGCTCCACCATCAATACACAAGCATCACTTAAACCAAGATATTTTAAATCAAGAACCTTGGAATACTAGTTTTTACTTGTACTTTAGTAATTCATGGAGTCGTTGATATCCGCGTGACTATTCGTGACTCATTTACCGATACTGCGGCTTCCTATAACCAGACATAGGGCAGCACACGCGTGGCGAGATAAGAACTAGTGACGTAACGTTTATTTCCTACGTATTGTCACCATTACGACCATTACAACGTGACTCTTTGGTCACAGAATAGTTTGACTCTTATTTCTTAGTCATAGTTTCGTTTGTTGTTCTGTCTTGTCGCGACTTACAGGAACCAATAAAGCAGAACAAGAAAAAACAAGTAAACAGAAGGTCATTTCACGGAAACCTGTATAACCGTTGAAACGGCCAGTGTTTATTTCGTATTGGGAATGTTCAAGGTTTGCATTTCTCTCCAGCATCCAGTGTCACTCGCTATATGTTTCGTAATGTTGCGTATTTAAGCATTCAGTGCATGGACTTGAGTATGGAAAGCAACACCTAAACATTATACTTTCTAATTTCAACGTACTCTTTTGTAATTAATTCAGATAATCTTTATCCTATGTTGAGGGCGGGGGGGGGGCACCCGGTAGCGTAGTTGGTTGAGGTGCTATGCTACAGGCCGGAAGATCGTGGGTTAGAGTCCCGATAAGGTCATTGGATTTTTTTCAATTGACCTAATCCTTCCAGCCGCACAATGGCACTGGGGTCGACTCAGACTCTAACAGAAATGAGTACCAGGAATTAATTAAATAATTTTCATGAGGAGTAAAACGCGGCCGGCGCGTAAGGCTGACAACCTTACCGCCATCTTTGAGCCGATTGTCTAGATAATGTGGGTGCCTCAACGTCTCACAAACTTATGGGCCTTCATGGCCTGCTTTAATATTTCTTTTATCCTATGTTAGATTTGAGGTTCTCAC